TGCCGGGGCTGCTCCTGCCCGGCGCGGGTGCGATCCCGGGCTGCGGGCGGCCGGGACAGCTTTGCCCTGTGGGCAGCACCGGGAGGTCCCGGCAGCGCCGGGTGCCGCCTGGTGTTTTATGGCTCTGATTTGAACCCACAGCTGGTTTTGAAATGCTGTGAAAGAAGCTGCAAATCAAAACCATGTTCGTCCTTGTTCTGAGAGCCTTTGAAAGCAACTTCAAAGGGAGCAGAGCTCTCTGCCGCGTGGGATGCGGTGGGGCAAGGAGCTCACGATTCCCAGTCCTGGGACAGGATGGGGGTCCCAGCGGAGCCCGCGGCCGGCGCGAGCCCCGCGCTCGCCCTTGCCATGCGAGGGAACGGCGCCTTCCCACGTGAGCCGCTGATTCCTGGCCAGCGCTGCTCTCCAAATATTTATATATCCCATTACTGTTTACATATAGGCCTGTTCTGCGGAGGTGTCTCCTCCTTCCCTTCTCCCGCCCGGTGCAGTCTCCGTGCGGCGCTGCCCTTTCCCGTCCCCGTCGCCGTTAGGAAGGGCAGAGCTTCCCGCGCGGACGCAGCCGCCCGGCCCCTTTGCACGAGGTGCATCCCTTGGCACCAGCCTGTGCACCCCGGGGCCCTGCAGGCTCTGGGGCACCGAGCGCTGGCAGGGGCCGGCGCAGGACCCCGCGGGTCCCTGTCCCCTTTGCAGCGGCTCTGCGGGACCTTCCCGTCTTCGATCCCCGCTGCCTCCTTGGTGGAGAAACCTCCGTGTCTCCAGCCAGAGCTCCTCTCCATGCGGATCCCCCGCTCCCGCCTCACCTCCATGCACTTGCTGACTCAGGGATGCAGAGGAATTTGGATGCGGAGCTTCTCGTAAATCTAGAGGGAGTGACTCGCTCCCCCCTGGGTGTTGCACACTGCTGTTCCTGGGTCTGATTTCTTATTTTCTACTGCAAAACGTCTTCCTTGCCCCAGGAAGAACACGGCTTTATCTGTGTGCCCAGGTTTCTGAGTGCAGCTGCAGCATTTTCCCATCAAAACGTGATTTCAGGGAGCAGGGGTATTTTGTGAGGAGGTGATGACGGGAGCACCTTTATCCCCTTTCTGTTGTTATTTTTCAAGCCAGTTCTGCAAAGTGAGCGCTGCGCGAGCCCCCTCTCCCCCCAGCCGCGCGGGCACCTACTTCGCAGCATGACCCTGCCGAAGACGGTGTGGTCGCGGTCCAGCGTGCTGCAGTTCCAGCGGTGGTGCCGGAACTGGTGCTGGCACTCGCGGATCCACTCCTTGGTGCCCTCACCCACGGACTGCATGATGTCGGGGTAGCGCTGGCACAGCTGCCGCTGCTTGTTCACCAGCCCGGGGATGTTGTCGCAGATCACCCTGGCGCCCCG